GAGGACCAACTTGAAGTTTGTATCATTAATAATTCACAACATGGCAGAGTGTTACTATCCCCGTGTCAAGCTGCTTGGATGCTGGTGTAGAGCAGGTGGAAGTGGGATTTGTCCAGAGCTTGGCTTTTGCCATGTTGGTGTGATGGAGGAAGTGAGGGAAATGGGAGTTAAGTGTGCTAGGTTCTGAAAGGTAACAGGGGCAAGGTGGAATGGAAAGGGATCTCATACTGCCAGGATCAAAGGGATTGGAAGTCTGGGAAGTGGAGAAATTTGGGGGAAGAGAGCCTGAGAAGAAAAGATCTGAAGACATCATGTGGTAGCAAGATTATGAGGAGGTCGCAGGTCTACAGATCAAGGCATGATTGTGGCGTGAGAGGCTGCAGTTGCCAGAAGACAAGGTCCTTGAAGGTGAGGAGGTCAGGGGCTCAGGGTGTCAAGTGGATTTTCTTGGTTTATAGAGTAGTTACCAAGAATGGTAGTAGGAGTAAGATGAAGAGAAAGACAGTGACTTAAGGGACTGATCTTCTATTTTTCCTTAAGCAGAGCTTGCAATTCTCCTGCCTTAGCCTCCCAAGTGCTGGGATTATAGGTGTGTACCACCATGCCTGGTGGGACTGAACTTTTTAATGAATGGTGAGGAGAAGTAGTGACTGGAAGGTTGATAATGGTAGCCACAAGAGCAGTTGAGGGTGGTGGAGGATGGCTATATCTTCTTCAGAGCAGCTGAAGCCCTGCATTATCCTTGACCATCAGAGAAAGGTCCTGAACCTTCATTCATTCATTCAACCAGAAAGGACTATCCACCCTGGCCTAAGCCAAACTCTTGTGCCCTCACTAAATGTAACTGTTGTCCTCATGAAGTCAGGCCAACAGGACAGCCTCTGTTCCTCAGACACCCCACGTGATCTTTCTGGTTAATTGACTTTTTGTATAATAGTGAACTCTAAAAAGCAAAGCCTCTGGGTCAAACACTTGTGTAACAGATTTTCACATATGAAGACCCTTAATTCCCACTGAAAAGCACATATTGTGAGGATGGTGAGTGACCTCATCATAGAGGTCAAAGCAGGAGTGCTCTCAGGGAGGGGAGAGAGGTGGCAGGGACTTAAGTGTCGCTTGTGGAGTTGAAAGACTTTGGAACCGAAAGCCATCTTAGTGATGGTCTTGCCTGTGGTTTTCTTACTTTTTAAGAAAGTTACATCAAATATAGAGATTTGTACATCAAAATCATTTCTGTAGAGGAAGAAGTGGAGCCCTGGAGTGGAGCGGCATTGTCTCTGGAGCCTCAGCTCATGGCCACCTACTTCTACCTCCAGGCCTCAGGGATGGCCCAGTGCATCTGGACCAGAGCTTCCTGAGGAATGTCTTCCAGTGGTCGATAAAGACAGGAGTTGGGGATATCAGACAATGTGCCTCAGCAAGCACTCTCCAATAGCACACAGACCCCATTTAATCCGGTGACTGTCAGGTCAGTCATTGCTGTGTTTGACCAGGAGCACAAGGCTGGTGAGAACTTGAGCGAATTCCTGGGTGTGGGGAGAGCGTCACACCCTGGCAGAATGTCTTCTGCACCTATGACAGGGACAACTCCGGGATGATCAGCAAGAACGAGCTCAAGCAAGCACTCTCAGGTTTGGGCTACTTGCTCTCTGACCAGTTCCACAACATCCTCATCTGAAAGTCTGACAGACAAGGTGGAGGGCAGATGGCGTTTGATGACTTCATGCAGGGCTGCATCATCTCACAGAGGTTGAAAGACATATTCAGGCGCTTCAACACAGATTAGGATGGCTGAACTCTGGTGGCTTATGAGCTGTATCTTTCCTGGTCTTCAGCATTGCATAACCAAGCCTTGCCAATATCAAAACAACATTTAAAGAAATGCCAAATCCCTTAGCTGTGATGAAAGGGAACAGGACACAATTAGATGCTGTTGCTCCTGTAGATTTTTGTACAGTTAATACTTGGGGACCTGGCTGTACACATGTGAGTAAGCTGGTTAGAGCTTTGCTGTAAGAGTAACTATATTTTTATAAAGCAAAGCTTGGGTTTGCTGACTGACATGAGTGAAACGTAAGAATGATTCAGATATTCTGCATGCAACAAATGGACCATATCCACTTTATTTATTTATTTATTTATTTATTTGGCAGCACTGGGGTTTGAACTCAGGGCCTCATACTTGCTAGGCATGTGCTCTTAGAGCATGAGCCACTCTGCCAGCCCTCCTTTTCCAGATATTTGCAGTTCTGTAATTGAAATGCTTTTATTGGCCAGGAGGATTTTAGAATAATATGGAGCTTACACAATTTTTCATGTGCCTTACTTTTTAAACATATTTTTTGAATATGGAACATAAGCAAGAAAGTAATGATACAGAAAAAAAATCATATTTGTTGTCCCAAAAAGAAAAGAGATACAGGATCAGTTCTCTGGTCCTGTGTGGCTTCTCCTGAGAACACCCCTCAGACAGCCCCTGAGAGGTTCCCACAGGATTCAGGATTCTGGAAACACTGGTCTATTTTTAATCCCCCCATTTTTTTTCTGTATTAGGATTTGAACTCAGGGCCTTGCACTTGCTAGGCAGGAGCACTACCACTCAAGCCACAACCCTAACCCATTTGCCTTTATTTTTCAGACAGGATATTGTGTTTTTGGCTGTGGCTGGCCTCAGACCACGATCACTTACTTAACGCCTCCTGAGTATTTGGACTCAAAGATGCATACCTCCATGCCCAGTTTACTGATGGAGATGGGAATCTTGCTAACCTTTTTGCTTGGCTAGTCTCAAACCCCAGTCCTTCCAGACTCTGCCTCCTACGTTGCTGGAATTACAGGCCTGTGCCGCCACACCCAGCCCCTCTAATACCTCCCCCTGCGAGGTGACCTGAGTCCTGGGATCAGCACCCAGTGTCCTGCCCATTGGTCAGATGTGGCTGCAGAGGTCACAGATAAAGGCAGAGCAGGGCTGGTGATGAGGGCAGTGCCACATCACCTCAGTTCTTGAGCGCTCACGGAAGGTTTGGGCCTTATTTTCAGTACTTCTAACTCTGGTTACATAATTTTTCAGTAAAATGTCATGATTTACTTATTTTTTTTGGTGTGGGAGAAGAATATAATACAGTAGAAAAACAGCTTTTGAGTTTGGCACACTGGGTTTATGTCCTGCCTTCCCTGCCACTGACTTGACACATGGTGTTAGTAACTTCTCTGAGCCTCGCTCAGTTCCCTCATCGGTAAAGAAAAGATAATAATCTAATGCAGAGGAATTTTGTGAGAATTGCACAAGAAATATTTATATAGAGTCTGACACATAAATGATCAAGAAATGACAAACTTTATAATGCTTGGGATTTGGGCTTTTTTAAAAAATTATTTTTGTAATGGGAGTACATTGTGACCTTTACCAAAGTTCTTATAATATATCATAGTTGAATTTACCCCCTCCATCATTCTTTATCTCCCCATTGCCCATTCCTGGAACAGTTTCAGCAGGTCTCATTTCTCCATTTTCATACATGAATGGGATTTGTCCTTTTCATTTTTTTTGCAGCACTGGGGTGGAACTTAGGCCTCGAGCTAGGCAAGTGCTCTACCACTTGAACCACGTCCCCAGTGTCTTTGCTTTTAGTTTGTTTTTTAGAAAGTGTCTCCTACTTTTATTTATTTATTTTTTTTGCAGTTTTGGAATTTGAACTCAGGACTTTATGCTTGCTAGGCAAGCACTCTACCACTTTGAGCCACTCTGCCAGCCTACTCTTTGTACTAATTTTGCCTGGGCTAGGCTCTGAACACGATCCCGCTCTACCACTTGAAGTAGTTGGGATGACAGGTGTGTGCCTCCATGCCTGGCCCTATTCTTTTTGTTAGTAGAAACATGGTCATATTCCTTTCAATAGTTCCTAAATAATCCTTTTCCAGTTTCAGAGAAGGCTGTTAGACAACCCCCTGTCCCCACCCCAGGGGCATTTGGACAGTGGCTCTGGAGCTGACCCAGGAGTGAGCCCTGCAGAACTGTCAGCATGTGACAGCTCTGTTCGCACCCCTGCATTGACAGACAGACATAACTCCAGCTAAAGCAGCATGAGGTTGTGTCCCTGGCGTGACCACAGGTTCCCTTAAAGTGCTGCCTTGGGAAGCTCAGTGCTGCCAGGAAGATTTACTATTTGTTCTAACCAACACCTGTTGACAGATAGGCCCCGATCTCCCTCTCTTCGGGCATTTACTCCAAAGGGGCTGACAACTGTAAATAGGTATCTCATAATTCAGAAGCATATCCCAAGGACCTGAGAGTCATTCTCTATTTTTTTTTCTGGTCCTGGGGTTTGAACCCCGCACCTTGAGCTTGCCAGGCAGGGGCTCACTCTACCACATGAGCCATGCTTGCAGCCTGAGAGTCATCTCTTTGACATGCAGTCATCAAGGAAAGGCCTGTATGTCCAGATCTCTGTGGGAGGACAGAATCAGAACTTCAATAACTGCCAGCTAACATTGCTGGCCTAGTCACACCTACACTGACCAACCCTTTTTACTTTCTCACTTCTCTGACTCTGAGCCCCTGCTGACCTCTCCCTCATTCTTGCATTATTATTATTATTATTGCTGTTGTTGTTGTTGAGCCCAGGGCCTCCTGCCCTTGTGTGGCTCCAGCAATGAACCACATCCCCACCCCTTCGATCTCCTTCAAGATGCTATATCACCTCTGCATACACTGGAATGGAGCCCAGCTCTTTCCCCTAGTGGCAATAGTTACTGAAGGAAATATATTTTCCTTACTTTAACTGTAAATCCTGTGTTTATCTTTGACAATGTAGATTCCCTGGACAAGCCCTTCATGGTAGTTCCTTCTGGAAAGCCTGGCCCAGGAGGAAGGGGTGGGTAGGAGAAATGCCAGCTCTCCAGGGCTGGGGGCCAATAGGGCTAAGAGTGGCTCCTGTCATAGCCAGAGTGTGTCCTTCCCAAGTCAGAGACCTGTGCAGCCCCTTTTACCATCACACACCTGACCTTGGCACTCAGACCTTATCAGCGGAGGTTGGGGACTGGTGTGGGTCAGTGAGTAGGTGTTGAGTAAAAAGGGAGTTGGGGACTTGGTGAGGTCCTAGAAGACTCAGAGCTGGTAGCTTTTGGGGATATCCCTTTCCCAGCAAGATTGACAATCAACCCTGAGGACGGAGTTTGCATTTTTACTGGGCTCACAGGATCAAGGATTATTATCCTTCATTTTAAATTTAGAAGCAATCACATAAATAGGCAAAAGTTAAATGCATGGCTAATGCCTTACGTTTTTTCTCTGAAGAGAAAAACACTCATATGCTGGGGTCTAGAACAAGGAAGAAGTCTATTAAAATATGTAAAATTCACAAGCATATAAGGAATTCTTAAGTATGATTGACAGGAAGAAGAACATAAGAAAAACAATTGCTTGGCCTTCAGTAAATGTCTCCAAGCTCCAAGCCCAAGGGACCCAAAGGGCTTGTGAATCTGCACATTTTCTCTGTCTTTCTGTCTCTCTTGCCAAACTTTACCAAACACTTATTGAGGACTGGGGACTGTTGGATGTGTTTACAGTGGAATCATAGTGTTTTCTCCATCAGGAGGAAGGCCTTACACAGCTGGAACTGAGCCTCGGGGCCTGTGTGGACATGGGGGCAGGAGGGTGGGGATTAGGATGGACAGGGTAGAGATAGGGAAGTGATAGGGGCAGGGTTTGATACTGTGGTGGGGCAGCAGGTGTTTGGCTGGGGATAAGGGCCTGCTGTCCAGGACTGACTCAAGGGGCAGACTCAGTGAGGGGCAGAGGATCCGAGATGTACAGTGTGGGTGGGGGGTCAGGCTGCAGCGTGCCATCAGGGCATCAGGGCAGCTGGAGGTGGTGAGGCCTGCAGCTGTCACCTGACTGGGCTGCCTTGTTTTACTCACAGCCCGCATGCTGTGGGTGTCTGGTAAACACTCCAGGAAGTAGTATCTCCAGTCCTGGCCTGTGCTGATGGTGAAGTGCTTCCACGGGCCTCAGGCCCCAGTCTAACACAGTCATGGTCCAAGGCCTGAAGTCCTTATGGGGCCTCTGAGTCTGGCTCAGCTTTAGGCAATAGGAGAGTCTTTCTGCCAGGAAAGATCTCTGGCTCCCAGTACCCTTCCCTCCAGGTTTCCCAGTGTATTTGGGAGAGACAATACCTGTTGGGAGCTTGTTAGGGATGGTGAGTCCCAGGCGTGTCTCATACTGGCTGAATAGGAAACCCTGGGTGGGAGTCCAACAAGCTGTGTTTGGACAAACCCTCCTGTGGAACGGATGCTCACTGAGGTCTGAGAACTGTTGTCCTGCCCAGCTGCCCTCCCACCTCTTCTCCCCCTCTTGGAGCCCTGCTTGCGGACTCCTGGCTACTCCTCAGACTGGATATGCACAGTCCTTCCTCAGGACCCTTCCCCACCTGCCTGGTCTGCCAGAGAAAAGCTCTTCTCCTAGACACTTGCCCAGCTTTGCCCTCACTTTCTTCAGGGTTCTGCTCAAATGTCATCCTCTTACAGGTAACCCTACAGTTTTCCCACAGCACTGCCTGACATTATGAATTAACTTGTTTAGTTTCTCCTTGACAGAGTCCACTTGCTGGAATGAGTGATCTTACCCTGAGGAGGCTGAGCAGGCTGATGGACTCCCAGGGAAAAGGATGGATCAAAGACAGTGTTAGGAGCCAAAGATCCAGTCCTGGAGGGCTGGGCTCTGCCTGGGTCTCTTTGGGCTCCCTGTTGGGTCCACTTTGGGGCACACATTCCCAATCCTCTTTGTGTCCCTCAGGGGCTGACTCTCTGAGCTGGCTGTACACAGTGGTGTCATATGAACTGTGCATGTTAGCCTTTTCTAGGGCCATGGAGTTTAGAGCCATAGGGAGCCCCAAGGAGCCACAGGGAACTTGCAACATGGATGCATCAGACAGCTTTAACTTGAGCTCACAGTAGCATTTAGGTTCTTAGACATCAAGAGGTGAGGAGCTGGATGGATAAAAGTTGAGAGTTAAGCTTTTTCTGGAAAAGGAGAGTACTGAGGGCCTTTCAAGTGACCTGAGTACGGGACTTGG